TGGTAAATATTACCATTATGAATATGCAGAAACTCTTTCTAGTTTATTGTTTAATCTAATTTAAGAAAAGAAAATTTGCTATTAATCGTCTATTTATAATCCCACATTCTTGAATGTGAAAAATAATTTTTAAAAAACATTTGTCAGAGCAGTTCCTTCATCTTAGAAATAAAAATGAATTATTAGAACATATAAAAAACACTGAGATTCTATTTTTAAATGTTTTATTAATGGGATTATAATATATAGATATAAGAAACTGATGTCATGTCTGTAACAGTTTAAAAAAAGATCAATGTTGACTTAGCTTTCAAAAACACTTTGCAGTTTTGGCTCAGATGAAGCATATTTTTTTAAATGTAAACTTAAAATCTGGGTCACAGAAAAAATTCCATCTACCCAGGGGGCAGGGAGCAGCGGCAGACAGGGCCAGCAGGAAGAGGTAGGGGGAAGCTTAGGAAGCGAGTGGAGTGGTTGAAACAGCCAAGGGAGCCGAACTTGTTTGTCAGTTTGTCGTACTGTTGTGGCTTGCATGTTGCTATGAGGCTGGAGGCTGTTCCAGCAGGGATACCCATGGTGGACAGGTTTCAGTGGAGCTCACAGACTGAGACAGTCTTGGAAGAAGGAAGAGGCCATCTACTTCTCAAGGAATAAACCAGACCAAACTCACTATTGTCCAGTTGGATCCAACTCATAGCAACCCCTCCTTGGGTTTCTGAGACTGCTAACCAGAAGGCTGGCGGTTCAAACCCACCAGCCACTCCTCGGAAGGAAAGTTGGGCAATCTTACTTCCGTAGTGATACTGCCTCGGAAACCCAAGGAGGGGTCGCTATGAGTCGGGGCTGACTTGACGGCATATAACAACAACAACAACAACTTCTCTATGGATGTAGATTGCCCTACCTTCCTTCGAGGAGTGGCTGGTGGGTTTCAACTACCAGCCTTCTGGTTAGGAGTCAGTGAAAACCTTATGAATAGTAGTGAAACACTGTCTGATATATTACTGGAAAAATTTATGAATAGCCCTGAAACATTGTCCAATACAGTGCCAGAAGCTGAGCCCCTCAGATTGGAAGGGACTCAAAATATGTTTGGGAAAGAGCTGCCTCATCAGAGCAGAGCCTACCTTAATGATATGGGTAAAGTAGAGCTTTTGGGGCCTCCATTTGCTGAAGTGGCACGATTCAATATGAGAAGAAACAGCTGCAAACATCCATTGATAATCAGAACATAGAATGTACGAAGTATGAATCTAGGAAAATTTGGAGTTGTCAAAAATGAAATGGAATGTATAAAGATTGATATCCTAGGCATTAGTGAGATGAAGTCCACTAGTTTTGGCCATATGCTCTACTATGCTGGAAATGACAAATTGAAGAGGAATGGCATGGCATCCATCATCATAAAGGATGTTTCAAGATCTATCCTAAAGTACAATATTGTCAGTGATAAAATAATATCCATACACCCACAAGAAAAGCCAGTTAATACTACTATTATTCAAATTTACACATGAACCACCGAAGCCAAAGATGAGGAAATCGAAGATTTTTACCAACTTCTGCAGTCTGAAATTGACCAAACATGCAATCAAGGTGTGCTGATTATCACTAGTGACAGGAATGCAAAAGTTGGAAACAAAGAAGAATTACTGGTAGTTGGAAAATTTTTCTGTGTAGAAAGAAATAATGCTGGAGATCGCAATGATAGAATTTTGCAAGATCAACAACTTATGCATTGCAAATACCTTTTTCAACAATACAAACAGTGACTACATACATGGACTTAATTTAAGTCTCAAGTTGTAATGTTGAAAGATTCTATTTGCAATATATTGAATGATGCAGGAAACATCAAAGGAAGATGGCAGGAATACACTCAGAGTCACCGTACCAAAAAGAATTGATGTTCATCCATTTCAGGAGGTGGCATAAGATCAAGAACCAATAGTACTGAAGGAAGAACTCAAAGCAGCACTGAGGGATGTGATGAAAAACAAGGTTTCAGGAATTGATGAGATACCCACTGAAATGTTTCAACAAACGGATGCCACGCTGGAGGCACTTACTCAGCTATGCCAGGAAATTTGGAAGACAACTACCTGGCCAACTGACTGGCAAAGATCCATGGTTGTACCCATTCCAAAGAAAGGTGATCCCACAGAATGTGGAAATTATCGAACAATATCATTAATATCTTAGGTAAGTAAATTCTTACTGAAGGTAAATAAAAAATGGTTATAACAGTATATTGACAGAGAACTTCCAGAAATGCAAACTGAATTCAGAAGAGGATGTGGAACAAGGAATCATTGTTGATGTCAGATGGATCTTAGCTCAAAGCAAAGAATACCAGAAAGATATTTACTTGTGTTCAACTGACTATGCAAAAGCATTCTATTGTGTGGATAACAAATTATGGATAACACTGAGAATGGGAATTCCAAAACAGTTTATTGTGCTCATGAGGAACTTGTAAATAGAGCAGGAGGCTGTCATTCTAACAGAACAAGGGGGCACTGCATGGTTTAAAATCAAAAAGGGAGTGTGTAGGGCAGTATCCTTTCCCCATACTTATTAAATCTGTACACTGAACAAATAATCTGAGAAGCTGGACTATATGAAGAAGAATATGACATCAGGGTTGGAGGAAGCCTCATTAACAACCTACATTATGCAGACAGCACAACTTTGCTCACTGAAAGTGAGGATGACTTGAAACACTGATGAAGACTGAAGACTCTAGTCTGCAGTATGGGTTACACCTCAAAATAAAGAAAACAAAAATCCTCACAATGGGATCAATAAGCAGCATCATGATAAATTGAGAAAAGTTTGAAGTTGTCAAAGACTTCATATTACTTGGTTCTACAATCAACACCAATGGAAGCAGCAGTCAAGACATCAGACGTCATACAGCTTTGGGCAAATCTGCTGCAAAGACCTCTTTCAAGTGCTGAAGAGCAAAGATATTTTCTTGAAGACTAAGGTGCACTTGACACAAGCCATGGTATTTTCAGTTGCCTCATATGCATGTAAGAGCTGGACAGTGAAAAAGGAAGACCTAAGAAGAGTCAATGCTTTTGAGTTGTGGTGTTGGTGAAGAATGCTGAAAGTATCATGGACTGCTAAAAGAACTAACAAATCTGTCCTGGAAGAAGTGCAGCCAGAATGATCCTTGGAAGAGAGACTGGCCAAACTTTGTCTCACCTACTTTGGTCATGTTGTCAGGAGGGACCATTCCTTGGAGAAGGATATCATGCTTGGCAAAGTGGAGGGCAATGAAAAAGGGGAAGGCCCTCAATGAGCTGGACTGACACAGTGGCTGCAACGATGGGCTCAGGTATAGCAAGGATCGTGGGGCTGGTACAGGACTGGGCAGTGTTTCGTTCTGCTGTGCTTGAGTTTGCTAGGAGGTGGAGACAACTTGACGGCACCTAACAACAACCACCTAAACATTTTAGACTGAAAATAATTTAACAAAGAGTGATGAGACTTCTGAATAGTTCAAAGGTCTAGATATCAATTATTTCTCAGAAAGTTAATTAATTAAAAGCTGAGGCTAAACTCTATTAAACCTCTAATCACTGAGGCCTTGCATATCAGTTGATATATCAGTTAATCTTCTTTTAATAATCTTTTTATTTGTGGTATTGCTATATCTATTATATAGTTGAGGAAATCAAGACCCAGAGGTAAGGTAACTTGCCAATAATTTCCCCAACTACTGGTGGAGTCAAAACTAAATCTACATTTATCTTCTACGAGTTTCTGTCTCACTATGTGTACAATTTCTCTAGACTGTTTGCTCTGAGATAGTAGAAAAAGTTGATTCTCTCAACATGACTCTCACTGAACTAAACAGCTGATCAAAATAAGCCATGTACATACTTGATATATGTTATCATTGTTCTTTGTATTGGTGTATAAACAAAAGTAGCTGCCTTGTCCTTGGATTAAAGTTTCAATGGGTATAATTTTACGGGCTGTGCCAAACCCTCTTTAAGCATTTGCCCATTTTCTATAAATCACTATTTATTTTTCAGGTGCTGCTGTAACAAATTTTCACAAACTCAGTGGTTAAAAACAACACAAGTTTATTATCTTACAAATGCAGAGGTCAGAAGCCTGAAATGGGTCTCCCAGGACTAAAGTCAAGGTGTAGTAGTGCTGTGTTCCCTCTGGAGGCTGTAGTGGGAGTCAGCTTCCTTGTCTTTTCAGAGTTTTTAGAGACCACCTGCCTGCTTTGGCTTGTGGCCCCACATTACTCTTCCTCTGTGTCTGTTTTCACATATCTTTTCTGACTCTGACTCTCATGCCTCCCTCTCTCCCTTATAAAGAGCCTTGTGATTACACTGGGCCCACATGATTATCCAGGATAATCTCCCATCTCAAAATCCTTAATTTAATCACTACCCTTTTACCATATAAACCAAAAAACCAAACCACTGCCTCACAGCGACCCCCACTGGGTTTCCAAGGCTGTAAATCTTTACAGAAGTAGATTGCCTCATCTTTCTCCCACTGAACAGCTTGTGGGTTTGAACTGCTGACCTTCTGATCAGCAGCCAAATGCCTTACCCACTACACCACCAGAGCTCCTGAATAAGGTAACATATTTACAGGTTCTGGGGATTAGAATATAGACATCTTTCAGGGACCATTATTCTGCCTTCCATAGCCACCATGAAAGTAACATGTTTCTGTTTGGTGCAGTGGTCATCTCTGTGCTTTTGAAAGAATTAGCTTTATGTCTTAATTTGAGGATTATTCTGTTTACCAATGACAAAAAACAAGGATGTCAACATCTAATCCTATAATCAAGTTTTCTTTCCTCCCAGTCCCCAGTTCACTTAAGTATTATGCTGATAGGAAGTAAAAGACACTTTTCTTTGCATTTTGAAAGACCTGCCAATTAAAAACACTTTTGAGCGTAGGACAATGCTCTTGTATGTGTGATACTTTCATTGTTGTCTGATTTTTTTTATTCTTGTTTGAAGTCCCCAGAGCAAAGACAAACCATCTCTATGTCCAGAGAAGAGTTCGTGCAGAGGATGAAAGAGATTATTGGTTGGGGCACAAAGAAAGAATATCAGGAGCTCTTTGACAAAGTGGATGTGGCTGGAGATGGCTTCATTAATTGGGACAAACTAATCTCATTTATATTGTTAGCGCTCCATGAAAAAGATGAACAAGCAAAGGCAACTGTGGTTCCCCAGTGGAAGGCCCTTGAATTCCTTCCAGTGAAGCACAAGGATACCATTCAAAAAGTAATTTTCTTAAAAAGTTCAAGTCGTTATCTGACTATCAGTAAAGAAGGTTTATTAGGAATCTGGGGAGAGAATTTAAAGCTGCAAGAAACACTTCCTATCACTTCAGATGGCAGCAAGCTCAAACACCTGTGGGTAACAAGTCTGGTTTCTCTGGAAAATGTACACAAGGTACAAAGGCTTTAGAAATACATTTACTGCATGTAAAAGGGGATAAATGTGTGGGACAGGGCTCTTGATCAATACACAAGTTTAGTACCAGCAGCAACAGAGTGCTGTATCACTCTTGTGATGCTTCTCCTCTGACCCAGAGGGAATGCAAGTAGAGCCAAGTGAGCTACTCGATTTCCTAAGCTATTCTCTTGAGTGTCTTTAAACCACTCTCTGATAATGACTCAGATTCTTGGCTCTGTCCCAGATGTGGTCATGCTGATAAGACCTTTATTACTCTGTATTTGCAGCAGGATCATGGGTCTGTATGCAGAGCTGAAAGGCTGTTGTAGTACATGGCACAGCTCAATGCAATTAAGGGGACTGCTTATCTGATTTTGATCCCTGCATTAATCAGGTTCTTAATTCTGCTAGTTAGGACCCACTCAGTTCAACTATTTTCATATAACTATACCTATGAGAGAGATAACAAACCAAAAGGAAAATAAATTTTGAGGGGGGATGGTTGCAGCTTAAGTATCCTTATTGTTAAAATTTCATATTAGGCAGATGGTAAATTTTTACTACGAAAAATTTCAAAAACGTACAGGAACGGAGAGAATAATATTAAGAACCTGATGTACCCAATGTTTAACTTTAATCATTTTCAATTTGTGGTTAAACTTGATTCATTTATATGTCTCCTTTGTTAAATTCCAAAGCATCAGTCATTTATTCTATAATTATTTCAGTATTTCTAAAAGGTGTCTATTTTTTCACATTACCACAATACCTCTATTACACTTAAGAAATAGCAATAATTCCTTAATATCGTCATTGCCACCCCATATAAAATCATGTTCACATTTTCTTGATTGTGTTATAATTTTTAAATTGTTTGTTTGAGTCAGGATCTATATAAGGTCCAGACATTGTGAATGATTGGTATACCTCTTTTGTTCTACATCTTAAGTCTTATTCTTGCATTTTGTTGTTGTTGTTACTGATGTTAAGTTCCACATATTTGTGAATTTCCAAAATTTCCTTCTGTTATTGATTTCTAATTTCATCCCATTGTGTTAAAAAACCATAGGATTAAATTATTTATTTAATAAACAGGATAATATATTAAATAAACGCAACCCAAACCAAACCCACCACCATCAAATTGATTCTGACTCATAGTGATGCTTTTGAGTTTCCAAGGTTAGACGGAAGTAAATTGCCTCATTTTCCTCCTGTGGAGCAGCTTGGGGTTTGAACCACCAGCCTTAGGATTAGCAGTCAAATGTCTTATGTGCTGTGCCACCAGAGATCCTAATACATTATTAAATATAGCTTATATATTTAATATATATATAATATAAATTCATATGAATTTATTAAATGATTAAAATTATTAAATGAATTAATTTAAAAAATCCTTTTAAATTTATTGAAATATGTTTTATCACCTAACATATGGTTTGGGAGCTCTGGTGACATAGTGCCTAAGGCACTTGACTGCTAACCAGAAGGCTGGTGGTTCAAACCCACCAGCCACTCCTCGGAAGGAAGGTTGGGCAATCTACTTCCGTAGTGATACTGCCTCGGCAACCCAAGGAGGGGTCGCTGTGAGTTGGATCCGACTCGACCCCAGTGGGTTGCGTTGTTGTTGTGCATAACAACATATGGTTTAGCCTGAGGAATGTTTCACAGGCACTGGAGAAGAATGTGCATTCTGTTATTGTTGGAAGAGTGTTCTAAAGATATCTGTTAAACCTAGGTTTATAGTGTTATTCAAACCTTCTGTTTCCTTGTTGTTCTTCAGCCTAGTTTTTCTATTCATTATTAGAGATGGAATGTTGAAGTTTCCAACTGTTATTGTTGAATTATTTATTTCTCCCTTTGATTCTTTCAGTTTTGTTTCATGTATTTTGGCACTCTGTTGTTAAAAAAATGGTGAATCCTGCATTACTAGTAATACTATTAAATGTAAATGGGCTTAATACTTGAATCAAAAGGGAGATTGACAGAATTTTTTTTTTTACTATTTCTATATATTTATTAGGAGCTCTGGCAGTATAGTGCCTAAGGCACTTGACTGCTAACCAGAAGGCTGGCAATTCAAATCCACCAGCCACTCTTCGGAAGGAAGGTTGTACAATCTACTTCCATAATGATACTGCCTCTGAAACCCAAGGAGGGGTTGCTGTGAGTTGGGTCCCACTCGAGGGCACATAACAACAACACAACAACAACAACAACATATTTTTATTGATTTTCTCTCTTTGCTGCAGCATCATATCCACACTTTCCTTATTTCTTTAGGCATGATTGCTTTTCAGTCTTTGAACCTATTCATAAGATCTATTAAAGTCTCTATCTAAAAAATCCAGCATCTGTGCTTCCTCAGAGAGAGTTTGTGCTGAGTGCTTCAGTCCTCCCACCTTCCCACCCCCCAGCATATAAGACATTTCCTGTGTCTTTGCATGTCTCTTAATTTTTTGTTGAACACAGGACATTAATATAATATGATATGACAAATTTGGAACCAAATTTTGCCCTCCCCAGGTGTTATTTTGTTGTTTTCTAATATAATTGTTCAGCATGATAAAATTGCCCTTGAGTGCTACATTATTGGCATCCCACAATTTGATATAATGTGTTTTTGTTTTCATTCATTTTTAATACTTTCTAATTTCCCTTCTGATTTTTCCTTTGGCTCATAAGTTATTTAAACTTGTGTTATTTAGTTTACAAGTATTTGCAGAGATATTCCAGATATCTAACTTTTGTTGATTCCTAATTTAATTCTAGGAGCTCTGTGGTCACAGATATGACTTGAATATTGTCAAGTTTACTGAGACTAGTTTTATGATGTCACTTAAAATTTTGTTTTTCTTTTATTCTTTCTGTGTAAACCATAATACATAGATGCATCATGTTAAAAAATTTCAAACAGTACTGACATATATAGAATGAAAAATTTCCCCCTTCCCACACCTTCCCACTCCTACCCTTCTCTGCTGAGATAAATTATTATTTTTGGATATTTGTTTTGGTGTCATTCCATATCTTTTTCTATTAACTTACTATATATTAGGTATATAGTTTATATGTAAATAGTATACACATCTCAATGGTTTTTATCAAATAATTATTTAAGGTATCTTTTATGAACATATATAAGTATATATATTTTCATCTTTTATTTTTTACTTTATAAAATTTAATTCTAGCAAGTATAAAGTAAGATGTCTCATGAATTTTATAATTTTCTGATATATTAACATATTACCTGTTTCCATTTTTATTCTATGATTAACACTGATGAAATGAACATCTATGTCATATATTTCTTTCATATCATTTGCTAATTTGCACATATATATATATACATACTTATTAAGGATAAATTTCTAGACATAGAATTATTAAGTCAAAGCACATTTTTTGTTTTGAGAGATATGCAAATAGTTTCAAAAAGTTGTAATGCTTGTTTATATGCTTCCTCAAACTTTTGATAAAACTGAATATTGTCAGTGTTTAAATTTTTTCTTAATTATGATATGTGAAATAAATCATTATTATGCTAACATGCGTTTTCTTCATCACTTACTGAATTAAGTAGCTTTTTATATGGTAGTTGATTATTTATATTTTCTGTGCATTGCCTTTCATATTTTTTGCCCATTTATTGTTTGAATGTTTTACTTTTCCTGTTTATTAGAGTGAAGTCTTTATATATCTAGATAATAATCCTCTGCTTATTATATACATATTGAATGTTTTTGTCTTGTTCATTACTGTCTTAAGTTTGTTCATGATATCTTTTTCAAAAATTATTTTTATGTAGTTAAATGATTTACTCTTTTTTATAGCCCTAGAATTTATCTGTTTAGGGAGACTACTTACAGAGTTTTTATAGAAAATATTTATTCTGTGAAAGCCTCTACTTACTTCAGCATGCTTTGTAAAATTTCTTGTGTGACTGTATGGTGTAGCTCTGTCTCTTTGTCTTTCCTGTATGACTCGCCTTGATGAGTGTGTGGAGCAGTGATAGGAAAGGAAGTGTGTTCAAATGCATTTAATGGGAAATGTTCTTCTTGGCTAGAATCTAAAATTAGAATAAAGCACATTTGTGTCACTATGTTACACAATCTGTGATATAGTTAACAGCTCTCAGAGAAAAGATCTTTGGACATTTCTGTTTAATTACTTCATGTCCTGTATTGTGTGGACTACAAAACCTTGCTTTCCACCTCCCCCCCGTGCCGAGGAAGAGAGAGGTAAGCCTGCCATTAAGTCTGAGTTGGTAATAAGATTTGCATGTCCACTTTGTGTATTGATCGCACTAAATACATCAGAAATGCTTTCTAATTTTCTACTCTACTACTTTAGATAGCAGTGGCTTTTACCTGTAAAGAGATTTGTTTCTATGATCTGCTGTCCAAAGAAGGATTTCCTTGTCAATACAAACTCCAAGGCCTGAAAACAACACCAGTTTGCATGGATTATTGGTATGACCCTCTTGATGCCAATGAATCAATTCTGTCCTTTGGGGACATAACTGGAAAGGCAAGTGAGAGAAGGATAAGACTGAACACTATGGATTTAATCATGAATTTGTAGCTGAAAATGAAAAGTAAAATGCAATCACTGCAGCTTTCTAATTGAACTACATTATAAAGCATAAGGTCACACATGTTGGACATGGAAGAGATGGATTAGTTCACAGTTCTCTTCTTGCTTATAAAAACCAATTTTTATTGTAGTTTTCTTGTATATTATAAAAAACTATTGCCAACATTTTTCACCATAAGATGCATAATAGATCACAATATTAATATACTCTTCATAATAAATATCTAAATTTCTCTTTCATAACTCTTTCAAACTAATGGCTCTGATTTTCATTCACAAGGTTGTGGGCTTTTTTAGAACCAGTCTTTCACAGAATGATCATGTCTTGTATCATGTAACAAAAGGATAAATGCATTAGAAACCTAGACATTGGATAAAATGATTTCTGTTCCAAATTCCATCCAGACCTCTGGAAAATTATTACTTACTGAATGACACTAAATGTGTTTGTGACCTCTGAAGTAGTCTAATTTGAATGATATCCTTTTAAAATTGTGAAAGCTTTTCATTCTGTTTTTAATGACAGCTGTATATTAAAAGCAACTAATAAGCTGTCCTTGGTGACTATTTTACCAACCTTGTAGCTTTTTCTGTTCTTTGATACAACTCTCTCTGCACTTTAAAAATAATATAGAAGAAATTCCCATTAAGTTCAATATCTAGTCCTTCATCTTAAACAATAAAGAATCATTCTGCATAATTATGCTGCCTATGTTTGTTTTTCTTTTAATGATATCTCTTCCACAGGTCCGAGTGATTTCTTTCACAGCAGCCTTGATATCCTTATTTGAGCAGCCTGCTAGTGCTTGTGAAGATGAAGATGCCACTGTGACCATTAATTGGGCAGAACTGCTCTCTGGATATCACAAATGTTGCTATACATTAGAGCACAAGCTTCATCATGGAGATTGGGTCAGGCAAGGTACTGAATGTGAACAAAAATGAATGACTCCTATACTTATATTCTTTGATGAAAATGTTTCACACAAAACGTCTAAGTCTAGCAACTGATGATAATTGGTTCTCTGGAGGTTTTGGTCTGGACACTGTTATTCCCTGCACACTGGCAAGAATTATTTATTTCTTTTTTTCCTTCCTATAATTTGTTCTTCATAGAATTAATTCCAGTGACCTATGCACTTAAAAAATCACAGGAGATGGAAGAAAATAGTCACAGAATTCATTTAATGTCAATCCAATTCTCGTGCTAACTGATCTCATCTAGTCCCATTCAGAGCTTCTTAATAAAAGCATTTAGGAAGGTCTCCCAAAACCAGTATTTGTTTTCTTTATGTCCTCATATGAAGTATATTAGTTTAACTTCCTTCAAAATGGAATCTTTTTTTTCTCTAAATTTTGCATAAAGACTGAGTTCCTCTAATCTAGAGTACTTGAGAGGACAGTTCTTTGTGTGACAGGATTATGTTATAAAACAACATCTAAAGAAAGCCAGAACTTTTATAAATACCTTGTTAGTAATAATGAGATAATTAGGGGGTATTAGTAATCAGTGGTAGAATTCTTACCTTCCTTGTGGTAGACCCAGGCCTAGCCAATGACCCTCATGTGTAGCCACCATCTGTCCATCAGTGGAAGCTTACATGTAGCTATGATGCTGAATGGATTTCAGGGGGATTTCCAGACTAAGATGGACTAGAAGTAAAGGCTTGACATTCTACTTCGGGAAATCAGCCAATGAAGATACTATGAATCACAAAGGTTTGATCTGCAAGTCATCGTGGGGATGGCACAAGACTGGGCAGTATTTTTTTCTGTTATTCATGAGTCCACCATGAATTTGGGCCAACTCAACAGTAGTTACAATGAGTTAATTGGTTTCAATATATGTGTTATTTTTACAATATATATCTGATGGTTCCAGATTTAAATGTATAATATCTGCACTGATTTCTCCTTTGATCCAGACATTAAGGACTATAGTAATTTTTCTCACTTCTAGATTGGTATATAAGAGAATGCCCACTGAAGAGAATGGAAATGAATAGAATGGTCAACCCCAATTGGCCAATATATATTATAGGTATATTTCTAATGTTTTTTGAAAAGAGGACATTCAAAATGGATCTAGCTGGGTTTTATGTTCATTTTACCCTCTTTGGGTTTCAGGGAGTTGGACTAATTTTTTAATGCATCACCCACATAAATAATATCTTATTCAAGAACTATAAGTTCTGCATTTTTTTCAATATAAATTATACCATGTCTTTGAAGCTTTTCCTTTGTTCTTTAATTCTGTTGTAATATTTTAATATTTTAATTAAAGGTTATGTATTTTTGTATTTTGTACAAAATTATACATTTATGAAATAAAGATAACCATATTAGAAAGAAAATGAAAAGAACTGCTTTAGCTGCTTCCAAAGAAGTATGTTTTGATACTTAAATCAAAATCTAGTCTATAGTTATAGTGCAATAGTTCTTCAAATCTATTTGTAGTGGATAGTGATTTCCTGAACTTTAGTACATTATTTGAATTCTGTGGTCTTATATCGGTATGAATAAAAATGGAGAAATAGTCAATGAATTGCTGTTTTGTTTTGTTGAAAAGGTTGGGCTATACCAACTAAGATTTTATCATTGAGGTTTTTTTTTTTTTTTTTGAAATATGAGTAAGATCTAAATACTCAGTAAATAAAAAGTGTTTACTCTTCTAGACTACCAAGATTCATTAAGTCTCTCAAATACCAACCCTACTGTCTGACATAACAACAGCGAAAAACAAAATAAAAAAATACTACAACTGAGTGCTTTTAAAGAACACAATTTTATTGTCTCACAGTTTTGGTGACTAGATGTTTAAATCGGGACATTGGGTATATGGGAAGGTCCTTCATGGTTAGCAGTCCTGGGTATTTCTTGACATTCCTTGGTTTACAGATGAATCCTCACACAGAGCCTTCCCCTGTGCATGTCTCTCTGTGATCGTTTTCTCTTTTTATAAGACATCACTCAAAGGGGATTGGATTTAGGATCCAGAAAAGCATGGGAACATATTTAGTGTCAGCAGTAGAGATTCATATTCTTAGCCTAAGGACTCTAACCTCAGAGTGTGACATCTTTACCACTGCACATTAGGATTTGATTTCAGAAAAGTTTTAAGTATATAAAATATTAGGGATCTTTGCTATGTAACATGGATAACTTTTTTTCTCAGCTGTTTGCATCAGAATTTATTGTGACTTAGTGGGTAATGTTTAGAAGAGTAGCTGAAAAAAATATGTGTTTACTTTAGCTTGTAGATTTCACTAAAGCCATCAACTGATTGGACTTACGTTGATCAATCAACAATTATTTTCTGGACTTTCATTTTAGGCTTTTTTGAGGCTGTAGATGAACTGGGCAATCTACTTCGGTAGAGATACCGCCTTGGAAACCCAATCAGTGGGCACTATGTGTCAGAACTGACTCGAGGGCAGTGAGGTTTTTTTTTTTTTTTTTTTTTTTTTTTTTTAGTTTAGATGAAAGGTAAGTTCTGGGCTCCACCATCAGGAAACTTAATATCTGGAACGAAGGATAAGCATAAAGGAATAAAGACTAACATAAAGTAATTTATTAGAAATTTATTAGAAAATTGCACAATGGGGCTGAAAATTAACTACTATACCATATGGATGAGATTTTGAGCCCATAGTTGTTAGTAAAGGGGAAGGAAAGTTAAGAGGAGAAGCTCCAAAGGTGGTTGCTAGGACTTGTAGGATGGATAGGTGAAGTGAAAAAGAGACTGTATGGGGAATGTGCGTAAAATGTAGACAAGCAGTCATAATAATGAAGGAGGAAGAGGCAGATATGAATATATCAAAGGCTAAATATTGAGGATATAAAAGTGAATATGTTGGGTGGGGACATATGTTGGGAGATATCGGCAAGTTCCTATTTGACACAACATGAAACAGTGAATATTTTTGTGGAAACTTGGACAAACCTGATGTAGACGTTTAGGGGAGATTTAATTGGTAGCTCAATTCAGCATGGACTGGAGGAGGAAGAAACTATAACCAGACTGGCCCAGTAAAAGTTCTTGATCAGGTGAAAACAGAAATGATAAACAAAGGGCAGAAATGAGAAACTTTTAGAAGCAAGGATCTTCAGGACTTGAGATGTGAAAATGAGGAATGAATGAACCACCTTAGAAGGTCCTACAAAAACTCAGTTTACAAATAGGTAAATTTTCATTCACAAATCACAGAGCCTGTCTTGGCCCCATTGTTTTAACTCTTCCCACCTCACCTCCTCAATTTATACAATCTCTGGAGGAAGTTTTATTCTGAAATACTCCAGATCCTGCCACCAAAGAAGAATCTTTTTCCCATCATTTTTCCTGAAACATCCCTCATGTCTTGCTACCTCAGCTCATATCAAGCTCCTCATTTTGCCTCCTTATTTATACACTTCAAATGAACTCTTTAGTTGCATGATTTGAAAGGTTATCAATTCTGTCCTTATGCTTGGGTTCTTTAAAGTCTTGTTTTCAGATGCTGCTCAATCAATGATCCAGTCTTCCAAAATTCTGTAACAACATCAAAATCTGGATCCTGCATGCTATTACCCTGTCAACCCAAAAGTAAATTTGGATGCTTCACATCCAAATTGTATTTGTATGTAGACACAAAAATAAAACATATTTACTGGGGCAGGCAATGTGTCATTGTTCTACATAGTGCCCACTATCGCACACAGATCATAGTCATAGTGTTATAAGATTTTCCCTTTATCACAGATTTTAAGTAATTTGGTTATGATGTACTTTACTTTGCTAAGTGTGTGTGTATCCTGCTTGGAGTTCAAGGAGACCCTTGGATCTGTGGCTCTATGTTGTTGTCAGGTGTACTCTAGTCAGTTCTGACACATAGAAATCCTGTGTACAGCAGAATGAAACATTGCTTGGCCTTGTGCCATCCTCACAATCATTGCTATGCTTGAGCTCATTGTTGCAGCCAGCGTGTCAGTCTGTCTTATTGAGGGTCTTCTTCTATTTTGCTGACTCACCACTTTACCAAGTATGATATCCTTCTTCTCCTGGGACTGGTCCCTCATGATAACATGCTCAAAGTACAGGAGATGAAGTCTCGCCATCCTCATTTCTAAGAAGCATGCTGTGTGTAATTCTTCCAAGACCGACTTGGTCATCTTTCTGGAAGTCCATGGTATATTCAATATGCTTCCCCAACACCATAATTAAAATGCATCAACTTCTTCAGTCTTCCTTATTCACTGTTCAGCTTTTGCATATATATGAGGTGATTAAAAATATCATGGCTTGGGTCAGGCACACCTTAGTCTTCAAAGTGACATCTTTGCTTTTTAAAACTTTAAAGAAGTCTTTTACAACAGATTTTCCAGATACAATAGGTATGATTTTTTTTTTTTAACTTTTGATTGTGATTTGGGTGCAATTTTACAAAACAGATTAGTTTTACATTCCACAGTTCATATGCATTTTGTTTTGTGACCCTCATTACAATCTCCACAGCTCTTCTCCCACCTCCTCTGTGTGGCTACTCCTTCCTTGTGCCTTTCTTACCTGTGCATTACTGCCTGCCTAGCTTTCTCCCTGTGCAAATGCTGCCCTTCTGATCTCCCATGCTTGACTGTTCTGAGCGCATCTCTCTCTAGTGTAGTTGTTCAGCTTGTAGTCCTGTCTTGTTTGGCTGAGAGTTGAGCCATGAGAATGAGTCCACTTCCAGGCCTGAATAGTGACTTGGGTCCATAGTCTTGGCGTTTTCACCAGTCTCTATGCTACCAGAAAGTCTGGTCTTTTTTATGTTTTTGAATTTTGTTCCACATTTTTTCTCCTTCTCTATCCAGGATCTCCAATTTTGATCCCTTCTGAGTGTTTGGTGTTGGCAGCCAGGCATCATCTGGTTCTTCTGGTCATGTAGGCTGAGGTTCCTGTGGCCCATT